GACTAACTATGTTGATAGCTGATTTGTAGCTCCCAAAAACTAATTGCAAGGGGTTATAAAAGCTCATGCTCTACCGTTTTCACACAAATTGAATTCAAAATGTCTTCACAATAACTCTAGAGTGACTTATGATGCACTCAAAATTAACCTCACTAGCTGACTGTTTAATAGCGAGCAAGGGGCAAATCCACAAGGAGTCTTAAAAATCAGATTTTTAAATTTTTGCAAACTAAATTACTCACACACAGTTTGAGGGGTTTTGAAAATTAAAAACAATAGTGAACATTTTAAAAAAATAAGGAAAGAATAAATGAAAATGAAATTTGAATTCAATCTTTTAAAACAGATGGTAATAGGAAATAGAATTGAAGTTTTTTTAATAAGAAAAGGCACTTTGTTTGTTGTTGAGTTGACAAATGCTGAATTTACCAAATCATTAATCCAAAAGATAGTTTAAAATCAATGCAAAAGGGCTGTTCATGTTTAGGTCCAGACCGAAAAACCCGACCGAACCGGACCAATAGGTCCAGACCGAACCCCGACCGAATTGATTTCGGGTCGGTCTTCGGTCCATACTTTTTAAAAATTTCTGGTTTCAGTCCGGTCCGGTCCAGACCCGAAATAATATAGGTCCAGACCGAGAGGACCGGATTGCAACTCTTAATACTCTGTACTCCGTAGTCCTGTATTAATGTGAGGGGACTGTGACTTATCGCCCCTGATCTAGGCATTCATCAACAAATCTCCAGCCCTATTTCTTCCCCAATCATTGGATTCAGTCTTTCCCTCAAGATTCACTTTCATACTTTTCCACCATCACCGATTCTTCACTCCATGCTCTTCTCCTCCGTTCATCATCTTCGATTCTATGCCCCCCAGCTGCTACTGTGATACAGCACGCCACCGCCCACCAGCTGCACAAGAACAAGCAAGAAGGGCGAGGGCTGACTTTGAGCCTTAATCGTGGCCACTCCTTCCAAGTAGCAAGGGATTCCACATTTTTTACCTGTTTAGATTTTGTGATGGCTTTGGTCTTGGCTTGGTAATGTCTTTAGGAATTGCAATTATGATGTTGGCTTTGGTTTTGTTTTTGAGATTTGAATTTCAGATTTGTTTTTGAATTGAATTCAGCTCTTTTCTTCAATTTGGGATTCATTTTTGTTTTACGAATGGATAAGGATGCTGGGTTTCTTGCAAAGTTTATTGTGGGATTTGTTATTTTCGGTCTATTCGGTCCATATAGGTTCGGTCCATGGTTTTAAAAGGCGAAAAAGGCGGTCCGCCTTGAGGCGGTAAGGCGCTGAGGCGGTAGTTTTTTGCCCCAGAGGCGTTCGCACCAGATGATTTCCGCGAGGCGTACACCTTGATTTATTGAGGCGGTTCGAGGCGGTAAGGCGCTGAGGCGGAAACGAGGCGTTCGCCTTGAAATATAGTCGGTATAAGCCATATTCTGCCCTTTTGAATTTAAGTTATTGGGCCTTCAAATAATTGGCCCCTTTGAAAAAGTTAGGCAGGAAGCACTACTTAAATATAAATAAATAAAAACTCTTTAAGTTCCAATTTTCCAATCGCACACCTGCGTGGCTGTCCAGCTTCCGATTCTCTCTCTTTCGCCGTCTCTCTCTTTCGCTCTGGCTTCCGGTCGTTTCTCTCTGGTCGCGGCTTTCCCTATGCAATTTGGCTTCCTATTCTCGTTTCTCTCTTAAGGTACGAATTTATGATTTCTTGAAGATTTGTTTTAACTTTTTTTACTCTGGTAATTTTATTTTCCAAAATTCCAGCAACTTGAATAATTTTAAGTTAGCCAATTTTAAGATTTTTCACTATTAAATTTTAAGATTTTTCATTGTTAAATTGTTTATATTATAATTTATAATTACTTTAAATTTAATCTTTTACATATAGTTTGTTTTTACATCAACTTTTTTAGTGTTTTGGTTATCATGAATCATGATTATCTTATTGCGTTTTTATTTTGCCCCCCTTTTTTGCTTTAAATGAAAACTTATGTATTACTTAATGACTTATTTGACATAATTATGGATTATGCATTTTGTTTACCAAAAAGTTGTTTTGTTTGTTATTTTTTATCAAGTTGATCTGAGGCTTACGCCTTGTTCCGCCTCGAGGCTTACGCCTTGAGGCATTTTCCTCTACCGCCTCGAGGCTAGTTTTCGCCTTTTAAAACCTTGGTTCGGTCCAATCCATATCGGTCCGGTTCGGTCTAAAACCGATTCCTAATCGGTCCGGTCTTCGGTCCAAACTTTCTTACAAATCGGTCTTTAGTCCAGTCCGGTTTGGTCCGGTTCTGGACCGATGAACACCCCTACAAGAGACAATGGTGTAGGATAATGGCACAAAAGAGCTAGCCAATTTTTCCTACCTACTCCACAAAGTCTGATAGTCTCCTTTTAGCAACAATACTAAATCAAATCCTATTCTTATACGGAGTATTTAAAAATCTTGACACCAAAACCAAAATAGTTAAGTATAACAATGCATGCATCCTAACTGGCATAAGCCCAAATCTTTCTCAAGTGCCCTCGGGTGGTTTGTTGAGAAAGATAGGGTAGACTACTGTGGTAAAAAATGAACCCAATCTCACATTTGGATGAATTAGAGTCTTCCTAAGGGCCTTAAGGTCTTATCCATAATGGTCTAACGAATTAAAGTATGTAAACTTATATAGAGCTCCGTCTTGAGACTTTCTCATTTCTTCATCTCGTTGTCTCTTTTTAAGTTTTTAACTACAGGGAGAACCCGTAGCTACTAAATTATTTCTGAAATCAAATCCAAATTCAGAAATTTTAATACTTCGTAAAATCAAATGCAAATTTAAATTTCTAAAAAAATGAAATTAGGGCGATATTTGAATAGAAAAACATCAAATCTAAAAGAATTATTCGTCATATTGAACCATAAAGTCATTCATATTTTGTAGAAATTAGCAAAGATTTAAAATTATTAATTAACAATTAACCCTAGATTTTAATTTTTAAAGTATTACGTAGTAATTTCTAAGAGAGTATGAGGAAAGCCAAAGATTAAAAGAAAGCATGACATTGGCTAGAGTAAGTGAAATGCCTAAAGTGCCGGAGGCAGTTGGCGGAAGAAGATCTGGTAACTGGCCGCGAAGGTGAGGCTGATTTCCGACCGGTCGATTGAAGGCAGATGGGGCCGTCTCTCTCTCTGATGTCTGAAGGCAGCGACTACAGCGAGAAATACCTCCAACAATTGTTTAAGTACTTCGTCGGATCGGATCGGGCTGATTTTTTATTTAGATTTTGGGCTTAGGGAGTAATTGGCTGTTATATACGGAGTATATAATATTTAAACAATTGTGCCCCTTATAATGATAGGCCTGATCCGATTGGGCTGCCCGTGCCCTTATGGGCCGGCCCTGGGCGTGGGGGATATGTCTCCGTGGTTTCACCTCTGCTCTCTCACCGCCATCGGCGCACATAGCAGCTAGGGAAGTTATTTGAAAAGACCTACACCTTACGTCAGTAGAAGGCTTGTGCGTGTCATCTTGCTTAAATCCAACACGTATCAACTTTCCTCATTTCATACACATTTTATTCACATTCAGTGTGTAGATCATCATTTCATTCTTATTCTTTTTAGTTTTTTTAATGTTTCTTTTATATCATTTTTTACTATTTTAATTTAAATAAATATATTAAATAATACAAACTTAAATAATGAAATAAAAAAGTACATTACAATAATACGACAAAATATTACATTAATACAGGTGTCGACCAAAACATTTAAAAAAGTACAATGAAATTAAAAAAGATATAATAAATATTTAATATTGAAAAAAAATTACATGCCCCAAATGCTTCCTCCAAGCCATTCACATGCAGTTTTGTCTTTCATTTTCCTTAACACCGCTTGGTCCATCGCTGGGTTGCTCTCGATATTCGTTGGCATGATTCTAAATTCCTCCAACTCTAATCTTTGGGCCTCGATCTCTAGCCTTCTTTTCTCTACCGCCATGGCTTTCGCATTGACTTATTTCTTAAGTCAGAGCTTTTATGTCTGAAATCATTGAATGTGTTAATGCACGTGTAAGAAGCCCTCCAAATCCCATTGGGCCTTAGTCCTGGAAGATGTTGACCCCTTCATAGATTTATCCATATCCACAGGCCTTATCGACTCTTGATTGGGATTTCATCATCCGAGTCGTCAGATCGGCAAATGAGTAAGGTGCACTTGAATCTTGATGCCTAGCAGCTATGGTCGCCCTACTTGGATACTTCGGACCTTTTAAGGGGCCTTTTGCACCTTCTTTTGTACCGGCGCGCACTTAGGACAAGTATGTAGAATTTCTCACACCTCTGTATGTGGAAAGGCAACATGCTCCTAGTGATAATTTTTTAGGAAACATGTTAAGGATATATAAATATATTTTATATTTATTGTATTATTTGTAACTTCCAATTACACTATTTCCTTATATGTTGTTGTAACTCCCTAATCTTTAGGCTAAGTTTATGCTTCATCATTACTCCTCATTATTGTAATCATTATATATTCTAACTCTTTGATTATCACTTTACATATTGGTATCAGAGCCAAAAAGGGATCTCTTCCCCTTCCCAATCCATTCTCGGCTCCCTACGCCTTCTTTTCTGTGATCAATTCTCGACTTCGATCCATTCTCTGGCAGTGTCAAGTTTGGTCCATGTCCATTGGACTCGATTTACTTGGCTATCTCAATGGCACCTTGGTTGCTCCACCACAACTCGTAAACGACGTGCCAAACCCTTGCTATCCGATTTGGTTCTGTCAGGATCAAGACATTGTTGGGGCTCTCTTGGGAAGCTGTTCTGATCTCGTCCAACCACTAATCTCCAACGCATAGATGACTCATGCTGCGTGGCACAATCTTCATTCGACTTTTGCCAGTGCAAGTTGAGGACGGTTGTTTCTCTAAAGGCCAATTGGGAAATATTCCATGAGGTAATTGTTTAATTACTGATTATCTCTACGAGATGCGCTCTATTGCCAACTAGCTTGCCCTTGTTCAAAATCTGATCTCTGAAAAAGATCTTGTTGTTCACATGCTGAACACAGTTGGTCCGGACTATGATCATATTTCCTCTACAGCTCTCCTTCATCCCTCGGCTATCCCATTCACCGAGTTGGGTGACATCTTAAAGGAGCACGAGGCTAAACTTCAAGAAGTAGATGATGCCAATGCAAACCTCACCATTCAACATGGTGGTTCAGAGCGCACCGGCCGTGTGATGCTCACCCTAGTCAGTCCTCCAATAATTGGCGAGGCCGTGGGTTCCCAGGTAATCAGACAGAGTGGTCCTCGGTCCTTAGCAAGGCAGTCCAACACTTGTCAATTCTGTGCTATTCTGGGCCATGACGTGAAGGACTGTCGTAAACTGGCACGGTTCCTTCGCATACATGGTATTGGCCACAACCATGTCGTTTACAACACAATGACTTCCTCCTCGCATGGTGCGACCCATTAGTGGTTGTTTGATAGTGGGGCAAGTCATCATACTACGCCAACAACTCAGACTCTTCATTCGTTCTCTGACTACAGAGGTCCTGATGAGATCCACTTGGGCAATAGTATTAGTCTTCCAACTACTCATACTTGTCACACTTCCATTCTTACTTCTTCCCGAAAATTATGTTTGTCCAATATTTGTTGGAACACGGGTTTACGCCTATGTCGTACTAAAGCTGTGTTCGTTTTAGGAGAGGTTTTGATAACGCCAAACCTCCGTGAAAGTAAGAAGACGTTGAAGAAACTAAAGGCGAAGAAACATGGCATGTTGATCAAATGAAAACGAGAACCAAGAATGAAGATTTAGAATATAGTTAAGTCGAATTAGGCATATTTTCAGCAGATCCCATTTTTAATTAAATCCCACAAATTATGCCAATCATCCTCAATCAACTCCCACTCATTGGAGCCTATATTTTCACTATATATTGGGGTGTTTGGGTCTGCTTTTCTCATCCTCTTACTTCACAACTCATACTACTTCATTCCATTCAATTCTTATATTTTTCATAGCTTTTGAGAGCCATTCTTGTGAAGTTCTTGTTGCGTTCTTGAGCCTTGTTAGTTTACTCAACATCCTATCTAAAAGAGAGTATTTTTCTTGAGTGTATTTGTGTTTAAGACACTTGTTAAGAGAAGGTGATTCTTTTGTAGGTTCGAAGGAAGGACTGTTTCCTTTGAAGGTTCGTTGAGGTTCATGTAACTCGAACTCTCAAGTTGTACGGGTTTGTTAAGCACCGTTAAGGTTAACGTTGATAGTCTAACTCGAGAGAGTCTCTCGGGAGGCTGGACGTAGCCACACGTTGTGGTGAACCAGGGTAAAATCGGTGTGTCTTCTCCATACCCTTTACTTTCGCTCTTAAATTTTTTTTCCTGCGATTTTTTGTTTCAAACGCTATTCACCCCCCCCCCTCTAGCGTTGGGACTATTATCTAACAATTGGTATCGGAGCCTAACTCTCTTCCAGACTTAACCGTTTGAGAGGAATAAGATCATGGGCTCTTCGTCTCAAAATTTGTACGCAGGTATAGGTGAAGGACAATCTACCTCAAGGCCACCACTTTTTGATGGCACCAACTACACGTATTGGAAGGAACAGATGAGAATCTATATCCGTTCCACCAACTTCCAATTGTAGTTGGTTATCAAAAATAGTGAAGAGGTACCTATGAAAAAGGTAAGAGAAACCACGGTACCAAAGACCGAAGATGAATTTGATGCCGAAGACATCAAAAAGATCAAAAACTATGCAAAGGCCATAAACATGCTTTATTGTGTCATTAACCCCGACGACTACCGAAAGATCTCTTGCTACTCAACCGCCAAAGAGATGTGGGACAAGCTTAAAGTAACGTACGAAGGTACGAATCAGGTACGGAAAGCAAAAATTAACTTTCTCACCCAAGAGTATGAGATGTTCAAGATGAAGGAAGGTGAGAAGATCGAAGATTTGTTCGATCTCTTATCTAAGATCATCAACGATCTTCATGCGCTGAAGAAAAGCTACTCCAACAACGATCTAGTGAGGAAGATCCTGCGAAGCTTGACTCCCGAATGGTGCTCAAAGGCCGATGCCATTTACGAGTCAATCGAAGTTTCCAATGTCACTATCGATAGACTAAGAGGTAACCTCAAAACTTACAAATCAACCATACTTAACCCATCTTTGGATGAACAAAGGAAAAAGGGAATAGCACTCAAAGCCACCAAGAAATCGGTGGAAGGAGAATCAAGCGAGGAGGATAACGAGTTCACGCTTGTTATCAAAAAGTTCAACAAATTCACGAGGAAAGAATTTGAGCGCAAAGGGAAGAAGCACGACGATCCCCTGAAGTGCTATGGATGTGGCGAGATTGGCCATATCAAGCCAAGAACGGCAAGGACAAGCACGAGTTCAAGAAGCAAAGAGCCTATATTTCTTGGGGTGGTGACTCCGGCGATGAGTCAACTGACCAAGAGGAAGATGAGGCTGCGAATCTTTGCCGCATGGCACATGAAAAAATGAACGATGAAATGCAAGAGGTAGGTACTAATTCTTCCTACTCTTATTCTTTTGAAGAAATGCAAGAGGCACTTCGTGAACTTTATGAAAAATTTGTTAGCACTTTAAAAACTAATAAAGCCTTAAAAAAACGTCTTTCTACTCTTGAAAACGATTTTGAAAAATTGGAAAAAGATAATGAAAAATTGAAACAAGAGAATAAATTTTATAGAAAAAGAAGCACCGACAATCCTGAAAGTTCAACAAATGGGTGTGAATCTTGTAAGTCTTTAAAAGAACAAGTTACAAAACTTGAGAGCACGGTTAAGAAATTTAATACACCACACAAAAATCTCAATTTATTTTTTGACACTATGTAATTTCCTAAGGACGGAATAGGGTATAACAAAAATGAAACAAAAGATAAAGAAAAAGTTGAGCACTCACCTAGACAACCACATAAGGCTAAACGTAAGAAAGATAAAAATCAGGATAATCGAAAATCTAGTCAATCTAAGAACACTAGACAACCTAGACAACAATCTAGGAATGAAAATGTGCATGTTAGACAACTTAGGAGAAACTATCAAAATGATAGGAGGAACAATAATACAACACCTAGAAAAGATGAGTTTCAAAGTATGCATAAACCATCCTTTTCACAAAATAGGAATAATATGTTTAGGCCCCCTAGAAATTATTACCAACCTACGCACATGCACATTCCTAATGTAGTATGCCACTATTGTAATAGGATAGGACATATAGCTCTTGTTTTCTTTACTAGGCATAGGCAGTTAGTTATCACAAAATCAAGCACACTACCGTCACACACGAGGACCCAACGTGACTTGGGTACCTAAATATCATTGATGTGTTTCATAGACGTGCTTGAAGGCATCAAGTGTACTATTGTACCTTGATAGTGGATGCTCCAAGCACATGACCGGAGATGCATCCAAGTTTTTTCAAATAAATCCCGACAAAGGAGGGAATGTGGTCTTTGGAGACAATAAGGAAAAATCATCGACATTGGTTCGATAGGTAAATCCAAAGACTCCTTTATAGATAATGTCTGGCTTGTTAAGGGTCTTAAACACAATCTCTTGATCATAAGTCAATTGTGTGTCAAGGGAAATCGTGTGACCTTCGATTCAAAGTCATGTACAGTAGAACGCCTAGTGACAATAAGGTTATTCTACGTGGTGATAGAATTGATAACATTTATATGGTTAACTTAGATAAATCTCATTCTGACTTTGTCAAGTGCCTCATGAATAAAGAGGAAGACACTTGGTTATGGCACCGAAGGGTAGCTCATGTGAACATGAACCTATTGAATAAATTGGTTTCACAAGACTTAGTAATTGGCATTCCAAAACTTAAGTTTGAAAAAGATACCATATGTGATGCATGTCAAAAGGAGAAGCAAGTTTGGGCTTCGTTTAAGTCTAAGAACATTGTTTCAACGTCTAGACCGCTTCAACTTTTGCACATGGATCGTTTTGGTCCTTCTAGAACCAAAAGTTTCAGTGGCAATTACTTTGCGTTTGTGATTGTTGAAGACTACTCCAAGTTTACATGGACCTTGTTTCTTACTCACAAAAGTGAGGCATTTCACGTTTTCAAAAATTTTCAAAAGAAAGTTCAAAATGAAAAAGTCCCCACAATTGTTGGCCCTCTCACCAAGGCCACGAAGGTTTGAACGATTCACGACCAAACCTTCAAAAAACGGTCAGACAACGTTACCCCTGCCGGACGCCGCAGCATAGCCACCGGGATTGCCGCACCGCCTGCCCGTGCCAACCTCGCCTCCATCGCCGACTCCCTCAACCGTTTGCCTCTCATGGTCGACGGGATGGGTGGCTACCTTGAGCAGATCGACGAGGCCGTTCAACGCCACGGGTACGCCATGAACGCGTACTTCCAACACGTGAACTACGTCCCCCCATCGTACCAAGCCACGTTCCTCGGCCAAGGGTACGGTGAAGACAAAGAGGGAGATGCCAGCTACGCTCTGTCTAGCTCCCTAGATGAGGACGAGTTCGACGATGCTATTGATGGCGATCCCATGGACGTTGAGGACAATGAGGAGGATGAAAATGGTGAAGACGAGGACTAGGCCACTGCTCCTAGAATTTCTCTCTTTTAACTATTTGTTATCTTTTCTTTAATTTATGTAATGCTTCCCTTGTACTCCGCATTTCCCAAAATTTAATAAATCTATGTTTTAACTTTTTGTTAATGTCAAAAGGAAAAAGAAAAGGGCTATGCATATTCTAAGGGGAACGTTTCTAAAACGTATTTTTTAAAACAAAAGTATTCTTAAGGCATAAATTAAGGGAGAACTTTTTTCAATCTTTAAACCTTCCTACTTATGCATATCCCCGTCTTTTTTGTCATTATCAAAAAGGAAAAAATTATTAGAACATGGGTTTACACCTATGTTGTACTAAAGTCATATTCGTTTTATGACAGGTTTTGATAATGTGATAAGTACATTTTGTACTTATTATGTTACTCATATGTAATTGTTTTTCATATAAATAAATTTAATTTATAATAAAAATAATGAGTTTCTTTTGTAAATATCTCAAAGTAATTATTTTGTTTATAAAAAAATGTGTTCAAAACAAATTTGGAATTTTTAAACATAAACTGAGTCACAAGGAGGAAAACTTTGAAGAAAATAAATTTTTCGAGATACTTAAGCTCAAATTCATCTTTAGTTCCCGAAGGGAAAATGTATAGCACAAAATAAGAAACTCGTCGCAGAAATTTGGAGTCAAAAGTCAAAGTTTTGTTGAGGCGACCTTCCGGGAAACCGCCCTGAATCCAACCCCAGAGTTCAAACATGAAGATAGACGGTTAGCGGGGCATATTCTCAAGGAATATTCGCACACACACACACATATATATAGACACACACACACACATATACATATCGGTAAGTCTAAAATGACACCAGTGCTACTGGTGTCATTTGCTTACACCGGTTTGTTTGATGTATCTAAGGGGCTCTGTTTGTAAAAACGATGGTTCCTACCCCCCTTAACCCTCCCCCTAAACCCCCCACCCCAGCCTCAACCTTGCCCCCCACCCTAGCGTGGGGGGTTTAAGGGGTAGGGTTAGGAGGTAGGAACCGTCATTTTTACAAACGGAACACCGTAGGTACCCCAAACGAACTGGTGTAAGCAACTGGTGTATAAGTAACTGGTGTCATTTTAGACGCTCCCATATATATACATATATATATACAATATATATATACACACACATATACACACACATATACATATATATATATATATATATATATTTATATATATATACACATATACATATATATATATATACATATATATATATATATAATATATATAGGGGTGTTCATCGGTGCAGGACCGGACCGAACACCGAAATCGAAAAAATATAGGGCTGAAGACCGGACCGAAACCTCTTAGACCGAACCGGAATAGACCGATTAGAGCGAAATTTTTTTCTTTTCAGTTGAATTTTTTAAATCTTATACAACCAAAACATTTGTTAACAGTTACATTGCTGTTTTTTTAAAACCATTGTCATTGCTGTATTTTTTTAAAACAATTGACATTTAGAGTAATTACCATTCACCAGTCACCAACATCACTCATCACTAATCAGAGAACTCTCAAAGTCTTTTTTTAACAATTGACATTGCTGTTTTTTTAAACAATTGACATTGCTGTTTTTTTAAACAATTGATATTGCTGTTTTATTAACAATTGACAATCAGCCACCTTATCCAAATTTAAAAGTTTCAAATCTTATTTGGAAATAAAATCTAAGAATAATACAATTTGGCTAAGCCTTACAAATAACATGGAAATAATTTAACAAGAAAAAAACCTAATAGAGAAGAAGACTATGGATTACAGAGAAGGAGACGAGGGAGAAGAGATGAGTACCAGTACCTGATTTCTTTCGGTTCGGGAGTCGGCTCTGCGAGACGGCGAAGGTGAGACGCCGCAGATGGAGATGGTTGGGACTGCGAGACGGCGAAGGGAGATGCAGAAGGCGAGACGCAGAAGGCGAGACGCAGAAGGAGAGACGCCTATCTTGGCGATGTCTGGGAGTCTGCGAACCTGGGAGTCTGCGACGCCGAAAAAGCAGAGTTAAGTGAGAATTAGGGATTTAGGGATAGTCGCATAAGGTTGGGCTTTTGGGTGGTGTATTTTGAACAGAAGAAATAAAATTAGATTAAGGATGTTATGGTCTTTTTCGGTCTGGACCCGTTGGGATTCGGGTAAGGACCGGACCCAAAATTAGAAATTATAAGTAACACCCATATATATATATATATATATACTCTCTCCGTCCACCATAGATCTTTCCAATAGCCCTTTTTCTTTGTCCACAATAGATCTTCTCGTTTCATTTTTTAACAATTAAAATACTACAACTACCCCCACTTACTTTATTTATTACGCCTCACCCACCTCATTTAATACACTCCACCCATTTTTCATTAAGGATATTATGGTAAACTTTCACCTTTTCTCAACTCTCCTTAAAAACCACCAAAAGTCAAAATGAGAACATCTTAGGGGGACGGAGGGAGTACACACACACATAGGGAGAGAGAGACACATATTGAGTGTATTGTTTAAAATTTTAAATGAACTTAAATACGGAGTACATTTTAATATACTTTATTTGAGACATTTTGTTATTAGGATTTATTGAATTGGTTTGCCGAGTGTCGCCGACATTTTTTTTTCAACCTGGATTAAAAATGATTTATAGATCTTTGATAAATTCAAACCTTTCAACCCAACATCTATCATCTTAACTAAATTTGCAATGTGGCTTCAATGACAAGGTTACATAAGTAGGCTCCCATGGTGACTTGGCCAACCAGAATATTAAGCTATATGGTATGGGAGTCAGTAAAGACATCGGGTAGCTGATTTGCCCCCTAACCTCTACATCAACGTGAAAGAGACGTATACACCAAAGACACCAACTTTCTTCTCTCCTGTCTTCACTCCTTTCTCTTTGTTCAACCACTTCAACGTGCCCCCACCCACCCTCGTACTACTCCCTCCGTCCCATTTTATAACGCCTGTTTCGGTTTATGATGTTTAACTGAAATTATTTTTAAATCATTTTATATGACAAATGGTATATAGTTAAAAACTAAAAATTACTACATATTAAAATACTAAATCAAAAGATCTACAAAACTAGTAGTGACAATTATACTTTATTTTATCAATTTGCTAACGAAAATTGAGAAAGAAAGTGAATAAAGTTTGACTCTATGAATAGTAAACATGTATTATAATTTGGGATATATTGGAAATAATTTGGAAATAATTTATTTTTTTATTCAAAAAATAAAAATTTACACTGTGACATCATATATGCTTTTTTGGGATATATTGGAAACAATTTGGCATCCCACCCGTACTCAACAAACACATTGTTCATGCTAAGGTACTCATAATTAACATTTACGGAGTAGTAGGTATTTCTCTGTACTTATAAGCTGATCAAAACTGCTTCTATATAGTTTTATTTTACAAGTCAGCTAATGAAATGTTTCTTTGTGCTTTTAAACTAACTTATAAGCTGCTTATAAGCCAGAAAAAATAAATCTTGCCTACATATTTTTATGCCAATTTTTTCATTTCTTCATTTTGACCCGATTATTTAAAAAACTATCCATCATCATTTATGAATATTCCCAAATAACTTATCATTTAAGTCATTTTGCTTTCACAAAAGAATATTTGGCTTCTAAACAACTTATAAATAAAAAATTACTTCTCAACAATTAGCCAATAAACACCATCACAGAAAAACACCACATAAATGTCATGTCGAAAGATAATTGTTCATAAATAGGTCTAATTTTAAGTAGAACTTGTGCACTAAGGGCCATCCAAAGTAAATGAAAATCTAAATAATCCGACAACAAATACTCAGTTTCCAACTCTAAGGGAAAGGTTCGAGGACACGTTCTGTTCCCAATTCGAATTATCTGGTAACTTGGTAACTCTGAAAAAGAAAAAGAAAGAAATTACTTGGCTAAGAAGTTGAGGATGCATAAAACACTTGACCGAGTGAGTTGAGGATGCATACCTTTACTATCTTAAGAAGCTCTTTTGCATAGGCATCGTTCTTGAAATGGTCACACACGGGCTGATAGATATCACATGGAAGATGACTTAGAAAAAAACAACCTATCCATGAAGTCCCACAAGTGGGTCTGGGGGGTCCTTAATCCTACCTTATAAGGTAGATAGGCATGCCTTAAAAAATATTGATTTCTGAATTTAGGAAAATAATATCCATATGTTCCTCTATGGGAATTATAAAGCCCAAGGCCTAAAGTTCATAGTAAAAAAAACTAATTCTTAAAAGGCACCCAACTTAGATTACATCCTCCTACTACGCATCAGACATTCCAAAAGGAACCCTATGAGGAAAAAAGAATTGAGCAATACCTGTAGGATCTTGTTCAGTGCTTTCGATAGAGCGGGTTTAAGGTCCCTAGGGTGCAATCCACCACATTCATAGTCAGCAACAAGTTCCTCAAAACTAATGAAAGTCCTATACACGCGAATCATAACACAATTAATGTGGAGCAAAATGGGTGAAGATCACACTCATAAAGTTTGAAACATAACAGCAAGCATGAAAATATTACGAGTAATAAAAATCATGTTGATGCTGTCAGTAGAAAAAAAAAGACCATGTCTTACTTGTTTCCACCATTCTCTTGACTTCGCTCCACCATAAACTCATTAAACCAGGGAAATATTATGTACTTGAGGTATTCCAGACAAGGATTTTTCACTACCATCTTGGGTGGGCAGAATGCCTCCTTTATTTTATCATGCACATCTTCATATACCATAAAAACAAGTCAGATGTGTGTTATGATTAGTCAATGTCATTGACTGTGCTGATAGAGAACCAAAGGTATCAACTATGAACTACCTCTTCATCTTCCATGTAAATGGAGGATGATGCAATAGTCTTGGACATCTTCTCCTGACCCTCTTCCAAGCCAGGTAACATGTCTGCATGCCAGATTACCAGTTAGGGCACAAAAATAAGGTTGGGCAGAAATTTCTGATTTATCAAATTAAGTTTGGCGGCCCGAAATAAAGCTCGCACATAAATTTCATAATTACACTGTATCATATATTCAAATCAAGTTTGAAAGTTAAAATACACTGGAAGCATACGATGAGACAATATGATAGGCTTGTTTTTCCTCTTAATATCCTCGGCGTATTCTCTTGCAAGAACATTCACCTTTCTCTGGTCCATTCCAAATTGACAGATATCAGCCTGTTAAGGAAACGACATGCAATTGGTTACATTACATACAGAGGCAATAGACCAAGAGAGTAAGCATCTAAATGCAAAAAACATGATGTGCCTCATCTAAAAGTACAAAAAATATAACACATTATGGTACTACTCCCCCCGTTCCAATCAATACAGAACCCTATAGTATACTCCCTCTGTCCGGAAAATAACTTCTCACTTTCCTTTCGAACCATCCTGAAATTAACTTTCCATTTCCTTATTTGGCATGCTTTTAAATTGAAATACCATAAATACCCATAATTTCTCATCCACCCCAGTTTAATCTCTCTAACTAACCCAATTTGAAGTCTATATCTAACTTTTTTCGTCTTCCTTTGTTCCCCATCCAACCAAGCTCTTCCACTGCATCTAATTTTTCTTCTTTCTTCCACCTTTAGCCCACCATCAACCCAATTTACTCCCCACCCAACTCATATTCTTCTTCTTCCTTCTGCCACCATCATATCCAACCTTCATTTCTTCTTCTTCCTACCCAGCCAACTCTAGATCTAATTAATTATCTCACTACTACGGCCCCGTTCCCTTCAACTTATTTATGGTACTTAATACTTGTTCTTATTGGAATCAAATCAGATCCATTAAGATCAAATCTGATCAGCCTTAAAAAATTGCAAATGCAGCCTTATTTCTTCTTCCTTCAACTTCGTCGCTGTGGTGCACCCAATATTTGAGTTCATCTCACACGACACCGTCATGTCTGTCTCCGGTTCCTTACTGGTTTTAGTTGTAATTGTATATAGCTGATGACAGATGTTGTAGAAGGGAACTTTTATTATCTACTGACAGGAGGGGCTAGTAGAATAAGCAGGAACCCAGGGACACCACTAGTGCAGCCAGGGATGCTACTAAAGACCAAGAATAAAAGGGTCTTTTTTGGATTGGGCCCAAATATATAGGACTGAAAAAGTTTGGGCCAAAAAAAGAAAAGAAAAATTGGTGGACAAATGATGATGGCGCCGAATGGTGTTGCCATGGGAAGATAAGTTGCCAGTTTGTAGCAATGGGGGCCAAATCGCCAATAGTGCATTTACGGCGTGCACCATTTGCACCATCGATAAGCCTGGATTTGATGTAACATAAACATTTAATTGGCACAGTGAACCCAGTAATAACTCACAAATTTTAACCTCCCCTTTAATGTGAGAAACTTTGCATAGGCGCACACACACAATTGGTCGAAATGCTTCAATATTACGCACAAAGAAATACTTTTGCTATACTAGTTTACCTTGAGGAAAAATATGTCTGCACACTGCATGCATGGGTAAAATATTTGGGCGGCAATCAATTCATCCTCTTTAGAGCGACCCATAATTTGACCGCATCTAATCAATTTACAGGAGGGACAATCAAAGACAGTTCAAAACAACTCATTACCCTTGAAGGAAGAAAATCAGTGTTGAATACCTTACCTCAATATTCGAGGAAGTGTATTTCTCCGTGCAATGTCCATAACAAGTGGCCAGTACTCATGAGCTCTAGAATTGATTTCTTCAGAGGACCATACAAACTCAACGTTACCACTCTCAACCTTCATTCCCGCGGCTTTCCATATCTCAATCAGATACTGACCAACAACATGAATTTTCTTCAAGTCTCCACCCATCTTGTTGTTTAACTGAGCAAACCAATCTGCAATCCATATCTTTACTTTACAGCCCGATGCTACAAGCTTGTTAACATTAATTGTCTTCATAACACCCTGTTCATGGCACAGTTGATGTTGATATGATGAAAATGAAGAAGTCCAAAGAAAGATATACATAATCACACATTTGTTGACTGCATTGCTTTGATGATCCATATACTAATGACCGGGCAGCATTCAGAAGATGAGAAAAACCCAAGTTATTTATAGTCTGTGGTCTAGTATTCAATAGGCACTGATCTGATGGTGAACCCAAAGCTAGGGCGCTTAGGGTGGTGGCTAGAACTAAAGCACATTTGCCTGTGTTTCTTCATTTGAATTCTTATTATAATCAATATAAATATTTTAAAGCTTCAAATAGACTACGTACTGGTGGGGCGAATTAGCACCAAGAATTTTGGCATTGAATCTCATTTTTGCCTTTTTATAGTAGAATGTGCTTACCAGATACTCCCCATGATTATATTATGGGCCTAGTGTCTACATTGAGAAAATCAGAGTTCAAGAAAATTGATCAAGGTGATATAATCAAATACACTCATATATTAGAACTAACATATATACTAATAAGACACACTAATATGTACTCCCTTCGTCACAAAGTATTTGTCCAATTTGAATTTTTTGAGTCCAACTGGATGAACTTTAATCATCAATTACATAAAAATTGCATTGAATATTAATAAATGAAATGTGGAAGTAGGGAGGCTGTTTCCAAGAGACTCCCAGCTTAGCAACACAGATAGCACAAGCTCACAGCATGCACATAACGCAGAGAAAGCAAAGAGAGAGAAAAAAAGCAAATAACAACTAAAACTAATGACAGATAAGCACATCAAGCAGAACACACAACAATGAAGCACACAAGTGGGAAAATCACCACTCAGTCCAAAACATTTACCCAAATACCCTAATCCTAGCTCTCCAAATGTTCCTATCTATGGTCATATCCTCTGTACGGGCCATAATTCTTAGGTCATGTCTAATCACCTCCTTCCATTCATCCTAGGCCTACCTCTACCTCTACTCTCACCCACCATCGAAAGCCTCTCACACCTCCGCACACTGGCCTCATCACTCCGCTGTCTCACATCAACTTGGTTTCCCGCACTAAGGCCTCTCTATAACAATAAAGAACATCTAGAAGAGGAATTGAGTGGATTTTGCAATTTAGGGTGTGAATTTAACACATTTGGGTGAAAAGAGTGGATTGGTCATTTAGAGTATGGATTTAATTGTACTTGAACTCTACATTACTCCCTCTTTCCTTATTTAACATTCCTTCTTTTCTTTATAATATTTGTCTAAAATTATTTTTAATTTTATCTATTTAAATATAGGTATGTTTAATTATATATTGAAAAACTCCATAAAAATTCTACAAGACAAGTGACAAGGCTATTTTAATTTAACAAATGACAAAAAGTTGGTATGAAAAGATATCGCTTGACCTTGTGAATAGAATGATACTCCCTTTGTCCCATCTCTTTCTTCGCGTTGCGCAAAACGAAAAAAATCCAATTTTTTTTAATCTATATGAGATTGCTAAAGAAATAAAAAATGAAATTTACATATTTAAAAACTACATCAAAAGTTCAACAAAACAAGTGGTAACAAGAATATTTTATTTTATTATATAGGCCATGAAAAAACGCAAATAAATAAAAGTTCCTGTGAAGTTGGAATGGTGCTCTGCGAAGAAAGATATGGGACGGAGGGAGTAAGATTAAAAAGGGATGAACGGAGTAATTAAAGTATACATATAAGAGGAAGATATCATCTTTTTTATATGCAGTAAGAAGATAACTACTTCCAAATCATACACGGAAAATGCCAAGAAAGACTCTGAAACAATCCTTCTCCTGCAATAGTATCATTGAAATAACACGAAAGAGTTCTAAACCTGAGCAATGTGCATCCGACCCGAGGGTTCAAATCCATCATAGAATATTGGTTGAGGCTTATTTGCCAACAAATTCCTTAACTCATCTTCCTGGATACACTCTTCACCTATGCTCCTAATAACATTAAATCTCTCTTCCAAATTCATCCTGATTCAAGAAAATTCACACAATTAACTATATATGTTTACCATACAAAAGGAAAGATATAAGAAACACAATACTTGAATCACACAAAGCCATTAACACAAGGAGCAAATCATATGTTGTGTTTTAAGGGTCTGCCATCCCTGAACTAACACCAGTATACTGCACAGCTATAGCTAACTAGAATAATCTTTAGTTTTAAAATTTAAAGAATGTTGTTGTGTCCAATATAGTACATGAAGACACGAGTAGCCGCATTAATTAGTACAGACCACGATATTAATGAGGGGTTATGCTTGATTGACCCCAACATTTCAACCCCAACGTTTAACCCCAGTCTTACACATGTTACAGACACGGAATAGTGTTGAATGTGTGTCATAGTTATGAATGGCGAGTGGCGAGTGGCGAGTGGCGGGCGGTCAAATGGCTAACAAATAAAAAGCGAATATAAATAAATAAATACAAACACACACACATATGTATGTATGTGTGTGTGTATATATTTTATATATATATATATATATATATATATATATATATATATATATATATATATATATATATATATATATATATAAAATGCATGGCATATCAAAAAGTCGTAAACAGTAAATTAATAAATTAATACACAAATTGATAATATAATGGTAACTATTAGCTAAAGAAATTGTAACTATTAATATTAATTAATTGAATAATACACAAATTAAAAAATTAAGAATAATATCCTTAGTGACCTGATGCTGCTGCACTGAGTCGCTGACCAAGGAGGGACGCTCGAAAGTTGTGACTCTGGGAAGGAGAGACGCTAGAAACCTGCAACTTCGGAGAGTGGGAGCAGAGTCGAAGCTGGGAAGCTGATGATATACACTACTTTCCCTTGCGGCGAGGGAAGGGAGAAAGGCGCCCCAGCGCGGGGGGAGAAGAAGAGAAGTAGGGGGAAGTTGTAATTCTTGTATTATGATGATTAATGAGAGTTAACCACCTCCTTAAATAGATAAGTTTCCCAATCCTAGGGTCCGTTCCGTAGAATTTATTTTTTGTACTTATTACTTATTCTTTTTAAAATTAGATCAAATTAGATCATACTAGACCTAATCAGATCTGATCAGATTCAATCAGATCAGATCAGACTCAATCATATCCGATCAGATCTAATCAGATCAGACCAGATCGAATCAGATCATATTAGATCCAATCAGATCAGACCAGATCTAATAAGATCAGATCAGACCATATCAAATCCAATAATATAAAATCAAGAAAAAAACATAAAAAATAATATTTATATTTTCCAAGGATTAAATAATAATTAATATTATTTGATTAAATCAGAGTACTTTATTTAAAACTACATACACCTAAATCTTACGGAGTAATTAATATTATAATTTTAATTATTATTGTTGTTATTAAATTATTATTGTTGTTGTTGTTTTTGTTATTACTATTATTATTATTATTATTATTATTATTATTATTATTATTATTATTATTATTATTATTATTATTATTATTATTGTTATTATTGTTATTATATTTCAACTACAAGCCATTATTTTTAAGACTTCGTAATTTCTTAGCTTGTAGGGTAGAAATGATGCATGAAAGCAATGTTAGAGCTTAACAGGTTATATTTTTCATATTTTAAAAAGAGTTATTTTAAAACCATATACAAAACTTAGTTTTCAAAACCATAGAGATTTTATACTTAAAAAGACTTACTTTTAAACTTAAGATGGTATAATATAAGGGTGATGAGTTAAGGACAAAATTGATAGAGGTGAAATGGATATTAGTGTTTAAAATTTTATATTATCTTTAATGTGTAACATGAAATATATTATTATGTAATATGCATATAGAATGTTTTTTGTAGAATAGCATCAATATGTAATATGCATATAGAATGTTTTTTGTAGAATAGATGTTTAATATTTTTAGAAAATTTTAAACATATCAATGATTAGCTGATTTTCTTATTTTACTTTTTTTCATGTATATAAGAATTTTAATACTTTAAAACTATTAAATTTGTAATAGTTTTGATTTTAATTTAAATCAAATTTAAATTCATTTACACCAGATCTAATTATATAAAATCATATCCAATCAGATCAGATCAGATCCAATCAGATCAGACCCAATCATATCAGATCAGATACGAACATTAGAAATTCAGATCAGATTCAATCAGATCAGGCGTACGGAACAGAGTTTTAAACTAGTTATCTATCCTGTCGGTTCTAGAAGAAGCATCAAGATAAAGAACCGAAAAGAAACCCTCGAAGTGACTTATAATTCGTCCACCTAAAGAAAATCTAAGTACATACTGAATAAATCGTTTAATATCGTTTTACATATTTAGTCCCTACATATCAAATATTACTAATTTAGGCTCTGTTCCGTACGCCTGATCTGATTGAATCTGATCTGAATTTTTGATTGGGTCTGATCTGATCTGATTGGGTTTGATCTGATCTGATTGGATTTGATCTGATCTAATTAGATCTGATGTGATCTGATTGGATCTGATCTGATCTGATTAGGTCTGATCTGATCTGATTGGGTCTGATCTGATCTTATGGGGTCTGATCTAATCTGATCTGATTTGATGAGGTTTGACTTTCTCTAATTAAATCTGGTGTAAATGAATTTAAATTTGATTTAAATTTAACTTAAAATTATTACAAAATTTAATAGTTTTAAAGTATTACAATTCATATATACATAAAAAAAAGTAAAATAAGAAAATTAGCTAATCATTAATACTTTTAAACTTTTTTTTAAAATATTAAACATCTTTTCAATATCACAACTTTTTTTATTTTTGTGAAAACTAAATAATAGGTATTAAAATAAAATATTAGAAAATATTAATGCTATTCTACAAAATAATCACATTCTATATACATATTACATAATAATATATTTAATGTTACAAATTCAAGATCATATAAAATTTTAAACACTAATATCGCTTTCACCTATATCAATTTTGTCACAAACTCACCCTTGAGTATATTATATTATTATACCATCTTAAAGTTTACTAGTAAGTCTTTTTAAGTATAAAATATTTATAGTTTTGAAAACTAAGTTTTGTATAATTATTTTATAAGCAAGTATTTTAAAATAACTCTTTTTAAAGTATGAAGAATAAAACTTTTTGAGCTTTAACATTACTTTCATGCATCATTTCTATCGTACAAGCTAAACAATTATATAAAATAATGCTTTGTAGTTGAAATATAATAATAATAGTAGTAGTAGTAGTAGTAGTAGTAGTAATAATAATAATAATAATATTACAAAAATAATATTTAAAATTATAATATTAATTAAGATTTAGGTGTGTGTAGTTTTAAATAACGTAATGTGATTTAATCAAATAATAGTAATTATTATTTAATCCTTGAAAAATATAAATATTATCTTTTATAATTTTTCTTGATTTGATATTATTGGATTTGATCTGATCTGATCTGATTGGATCTGGTCTGATCTGATTGGATCTGATCTAATCTGATTGATCTGATCTGATTGAGTCTGATCTGATCTAATTGAGTCTGATCTGATCTGATTGGATCTGATCTGATTAGGTCTGGTCTGATCTTATCTTATCTGATTTTAATAAGAATAAGCAATAAGTAGAAAAAATACGTCCTACGGAACGGACCCTTAGTCCTCAATTATTATATTCATTTCCACGAATGGTCTTTTGTAAACATTTCTGTTAGAACGTGGATAAAATTGTAAATTCACACTCCTTTCTCTCCTCAATTAAGCTTCCTCCCTCCCCTCGCACTTCTTTTCCAAACCCGTCGATGAGTTTGAAGTTTTGAACCCAAAACCAAAATCATCACTCTTTTCTCAATTGTTTGTCTAACTGGTGGACCCAAATTCAAAACCAGTAACCTTCATAGATGAGTTTTAGTGTTTATTTTTTTTGCAATTTCTTGAGAGTGACTGATAAAATTCATCCATAAAGCTTATTGGTTTGATTTTAGGTTCCACCAAGAAGACTAATAATTGAGAGAGGAATGATCATTTCAGTTTTCGGTTTAGAACTTCAAACTCAGCAACGAGTTTGGGAGAGAGTATGAGAGGAGGGAGGAAGCTTAATTGAGGAGAGAGAGGAGTGTGAATTTACAATTTTATCCATGCTCTTAACAAATATGTTAACAAAGGACCATTTGTGGAAATGAATATAATAATTGGGGACTAAATTAGTAATATTTGATATGTAGGGACTAAATATGTAAAACGACCTATAACTGGGGACCTTTTATGAAATTTACTCCCGTTGCAACTGGGGAGCTGATGATATACACTACTTTCCCGTATACCTTGGTCGGGCAGCCTTGCGGCGAGGGAAGGGAGAAAGGCGCCATAGCGCAGGGGGAGAGAAGAAGAGAAGTAGGGGGGAAGTTGTAATTCTTGTATTATGATGATTAAGGGGAGTTAACCACCTCCTTAAATAGATAAGTTCTCCAATCCTAGTTAAACTAGTTATCTATCATGTCGGTTCAAGAAAAAGCATCGAGGTAAAGAACTGAAAAGAAATCCTCGAAGGGACTTATAATTCGTCCACCTAAAGAAAATCTAAGTACATGATGAATAATTAAAATACTTAAACATAATCTCGATATCTACGTGGCGGTCCCACGTGCCTCTTTAAACATCTTATCGCGATTGTGTCTTCGTCGTTTACCCTAGGGTCCGTGTCCGTATCAGCTGAACCGATGGTTGGTTGGAAGAGAGGATCGGCGGAGAAGACGAAAGAGTGGAAGGGAATACGATCGATTAAGGTAATGGATGAACGGACTTGAGGCAATGGATCAAATCATTTAATTACAAACGGGCTTAAGCCCAATTTAATTAATCCATTCGACTCTTAAGGCTCACAGCGAAAAAAAACTTACACAGATCTGTATGGCGAGAATTACGCTCACCAAACGCCATAAGACGCAGCGAGAATGGCGTTAGAGCCTAATCCAGGCGTTAGAGCCTCGTCACAGCACCATAACCGCCATCGGCGAGCATGGCGCTCGCCATTCATAACTATGATTGTGTGTAATGCTTGTAAGACTGTGCTTAAACCTTGGGGTTCAAATGTTGGGGTTAAAATAGCATCTTGCAATAATGAGAAAAAACAATTTCATCTTAAACAAAGAGATACAAATAATCTAAAGATTTAAGTGTTGTTCACTTCACCTACTTTTTTTGTTTATTACTTATTCTTATTTAAATCATATCAAAATAGAACCAAATGTGAAACATTTAAACAAGGAAAGTTCTTTAAAACCAAAAAGACTTGAACCATATCCATATATAAATTCTTTATTGTTTGCTTTACTTTTTGGTCTTTCTGGGTAGCCGCAGTTGGGATATTGGAGTTATGCATAGTGCTTCAAAAGAGTAACTATGTTGATGGTTGTTTCGTAGCTCCAAAAAAAACAAATTGCAAGGGGTGAAAAAAGCTCATGCTATACCATTTTCGTACAAATTAATTTGAAATGTCTTCACAGTAACTATAGATTACTTATGATGCACTCGAATTTAACACTTTTAGTAGCCAGCAAGGGCCGAACCCATAAGGAGAGTCTAAAAAATTTACTCGTAATTCTTATAAATCTGATTGTTTAATTTTTGCAAACTGAATTACTCACACACAGTTTGGGGAGTTTTGAAAATTAAAGTAATAGTTAACATTTTTAGAAAATAAGGAAAGAATAAATGAAAATGAAATTTGAATTCAAGCTTTTAAAACAGTAGGAAATAGATTTGAAGTTTTGTTTAATTTGAAAAGGCACTTTGTTTGTTGTTGAGTTGACAAATCATGAAAATTACCAAATCATTAATCCAAAAGATAGTTTAAAATTGATGCAAGAGAGTAGAGACAATGTTGTAGGATAATGGCACCAAAGAGCTAGCCAATTTTCCCTACCTACTCCATAGAGTCTAATAGTCTTTTTTAGCACCAGTTCTAAATCAAACCCTATTATTATATGGAGTATTTAAAAGCTTGAGACCAGCACCAAAATAATTAATTATAAGAATGCATGCATCCTAAGTGGCATCCGCTCAAATCTTTCTCAACTGCCCTCGGGTGGTTTGTTGAGAAAGATAGGGTAGATTACGGTGGCACAAAATGATTTCTAATTGTAACCTAATCTCACATTTGGATGAATTAGAGTCTTCCTAATGTAAACTTGACTACTACATCTAAGCAGGCTCTCTTAGGGATCTTAGCCAGGTTTCAACTAAGGGGCTGTTTGACAACTTCTGAATAGGTAAGTGCTGAACCATTATGAGGTCTGAACCATTAAGTACTGAACCAGTAAAAGGTCTGAACCATTAAGAGCTAGTATATTGTTTAACTATTCAGAGGCAAATGTCTGATCAATTCAGATAAGAGGTCTTAACCATTCAGACTCTGTATAATACTTAACCATTCAGAGGCAAATCTCTTAACCATTCAGACATCTGAACCATTAAGAGGCTGAAACAAACAGTCTGAACCATAAGTACTGAACCATTCAGACATCCGAATCATTAAGAGGCTGAAACAAACAGCCCCTAAGATAATGACCATAAATAAACTCATCTTCATGATTAAAAATAATTCTCAGATTTCAAAAGGTAAAGGCAGCCCTCAGTAACTCAACACCAAACTGAGCAGACTTACCTACTCAGTTTGTAAAAAAAAGAGACAACAAACTCATGGTGATAGCAAATAGAGACAAGCTGGAAGCCTGGAAGTTCACTAATCAGGTTTATGCTGATTCGAAACACAGCTTCAGATTTATAGCCAATTTTGTGGCAGAATTACATTTTTCATATACAGCTTCACTTGAAGAGAATTTCAGGACTCTTTATGAACAGTTCGAATATAAGCATCCAGGTCTAGGCCAAATTTCAACAGAAAAAGCAACACACCTTGCTGATTTATACCGATACAAAGAGATTCAAGCTAGAACAACACGGTTCCCAAATTTATAAAAGAACGGAGCAGAACTCCGTTGAAGACGAACATATTTAACCTGTTTTAAACTGAAAGCAACAGAATCAAGCCTGACAGAACCAACTTTCCAGATTCAACAAAATCTACCACAAACCAGATAATCAATACTATAGATCTAAAAATCACTAAAAGGCGTGGGAGTATACTACAGCAGTTTCACCTTTGCTCTCTCCTATCTTGGAATCCTTAGAAATCTTATAACCGTACATAATAATCCGTTTTACATATTTAGTCCCTACATATTAAATATTACTAATTTAGTTCCCAATTATTATATTCATTTCTATGAATGATCCTTTGTTAACTTTGCGTTAATAATATGGATAAAATTGTAAATTCACACTAATAATTGTGAGAGAAATGATCATTTCAATTTTGGGTCTAGAGCTTCAAACTAAGCGACGGGTTTGAGAAAGAGTACAAGAGGAGGGAGGAAGCTTAATTGAAGAGATAGAAGTATGAATATACAATTTTATCCATGTTCCTAATAAAAACGTTAAAAAAAGATCATTCGTGAAAAATAATATAATAATTGATGACTAAATTAATAATATTTGATATGTATGGACTAAATATGTAAAACGACCTATAACTGGGAACCTTTTATGAAATTTACTCTTAAAAAAACTACATTTGTAACTAAAGACCTAAATAGGTAAATTCTACTTTGTAAGTTAGGTAATACACTCTGATGCTTTACTTGAATAGATATTTTAATTTATTTAATAAAAAAAGTTTTTATTAAAAAATTTTATAAAAAAAGTTCAAAAAAAAGTTTCACATTAGCTTTTATTATTCTATATAGAAGTAATCCATGTTGTGTATCTATTTTTAAGTTGTCTATTTTTAAGTTATCTATTTTTCCTATTTGTATGCTACAAAATAAAAAGCCTAAAATATTTTTTTTGAAAGGCTAACCATCAAAACATGAAATATATTTAAAACATGAAATATATTTAATTGATCAAAATAATTATAAAAAATGCATTTTTATTCGGTCCAATCGATCTGGACCGATTCAATCTTAAGTATTTCGGTCCAGTCCGATCGAAACTCGAATAGATTTAGGTCCAGTCTCCGGTCCGTGATTTTAATCAATTCGGTCTTCATTCCGGTCCAGGTCGGCCCGAATTTGGACCGATGAACACCCCTAACCAAAATAGAAGTTTTATGTTTTTATTATCAAAATAGGAGTTAAAATACATTCACAGTGCCAACCATGAGACCATACATTACCAAAACAGTAAAAAAATACAATGAAATGTCCATATACAATGTCACATGACCACAATGAGAACTCCTATTTTGGAGGAAAAAAACATGAAACTCTTATTTTTGTACTTTTTCTTTGTTTTACTCTTATTCATAGTGATTTCTTGAAATTACAAGTAGATTGAAAAATATTAGAAGTTAATAGTTATACCAAAAAGAAATGGAACCGTAGTAGAGTGTTCGATATTTACAAATCCTTAACATTAAGAAGCGAGCCATGCTAGGGGTACACCAAAGGTGTACCCCATTTGTCCCCCACCCCTTTCTCTACCACTCATTTTAATCCCATTTTTATTTATTTAATTTTGTTTTAATTTCTTGCCCATTTTTGTGGTAATAGAGGGGGTGGGGGACAAATGGGGTACACCTTTGGTGTACCCCTAACATTTTTCTTAAGAAGCAATTGATTATTGAACATTCACAAATAGTTTTTCAATTCATCATGAACCCATAATGACCAGCAAGCAATGACCAACAACTCAACAAGGTACAATGGCAGCATGGAAAAGAAGAGAGAGGTAAAGGTTTTGTCATTTTACGGAGAGTGATACATTTATTTGAAAATATGTTTTCGATTAAATGTACTAAAAAAATAGTCGTGCGTGTACATCGTTCGGGGTTCTAATTTCCACTTACTTATAGGTCGTAGAGACTGCCAGACCGTAATCCGCGGTAAGAGCCATCAAGAGGAGTTTCTTCACTTTGAGTCGGACATTACTCAACACACGGTTAAATATTTGTTGCATTGTGACCTTGTCTTCATTTCGAAAAAAGTACAGAAGGATACCTTAACATTGGCTTTTGAGAATTTATTAATGCTGATGTAGTTGCCAAGCCAGAGGATGGAGCATCCAGCACAGCAGGCTTCATTTTATTGAAAAAGGACAAGAGAACAAGAAAAGGGCACAATATTAGAAGGTTACATATATCACAGCTATGCTCGCAAACATTCCAAAATCTAAAACAGGAATAGACTTAATTGATATGAGGTGGTGTATTATTTGGACAATACAATGGTATATTCAAAGAAAGTAGTGAAGTAAAACCATCTGGAACGACTTACCCCCTCCGTCCCCTTCCCACCTAAAAAAGTCCAATTTCAAAAAGCGTGTGTCCCAAAACAAGAATCCAGTTTGATCCAACGAAGCCATTTTTTATGTAATTTGCCAAAATTACGAAACGAATAAAAAAAGCATGATTCATGGTTTATGACAGTTTTTGAGGCATGACTTCTTTTGTGTGTGTGTGTGTGGGGGGGGGGCAACAAATACATTTGAAGTCAGCTAAAAAACCTCAAGCTCTTCCAAGTACTCATCATTCAAGGCAAGAGAAGAATTGCCATTTTCATCCCCTTTATCTGAAGTTACCACTGTTTCTGCTCCTTGTCTTTCTGATGCATCAAAAAAAGAGCATCCTCCGCCATTCAACTCGTCATCTCCAAGCCCATCAAAAGCTTGAGAAGCATCTGGTTGGTCAAGAATTGGTTCTATAAATTGCTTGACGAGAAGCGTGTCTGTCATTGCTTCACTAGGTGAAGGCACAGCAGGTGATGATGTGCTTTTGATGGACGGGATATCAGCATGGCTTTTTTCAACAAGGCTAGAACTGCTTGAGGTATCGCAATTATCAGTTTCTAATCTCTTTGGCTCTATAGTTTCACCCTGCAAACTTGCATCGCTTCTACTCACAACATCATCTTGTTTTCTCTTTCGTCTTGCAGTGCGTGTAACTTTAGCAGTAGCAAGTGGAGGCTTTGCAGGTTGTGAAGGCCTAACTCCTCCCGGGAAGACAAAGTTAGGAATGTTTTTTCGTTTTACATGGCACACATGAATTGACATTGTTGATTTCCAGAAAGAGTATTGATATACATCGCTTTTAAAATCGAGTTGACAGTTAGAATATAGTTTAACAAGTGGAACAACGCCTAACCAAGGAACAAAAGATGCGTTGGGGTACTTCATTCTTACTGCTTTACCAAACAGAAATAGACTTTTAAGTGGTCCTGTCCCCACCGTGACTTCATGAGGTGAACACAGGGAGAGTTAGACTTAATTATCTTTTAATTTTCGTTTAATTGCCATAACCCTTTGGTGAGATCTGTATGTGAAAAACATTCAAGAGACAAATCTAACCTTGAGTGTAAGCATACGTATCCTAGATTCAACCCAGCCTTTCCAACTCATCATTTCATCATTATTCTCAGCAGATATGTCTATTTGCAAATAATTTTTGTAGGCTTCAAAAAAGGCAAAAGGCTCAAAGAGATTCACCCAGCTTGCTCCACTTGCCTCTATTGCCTAAGCAACCAAATACTAGTCAGTGAAGACAATACTGGTAACAACATGGCAGATAAAGATCACATTATCACAAACACTCAATAAAGCATGTGTTTAACATAAACATATCAGTGGAACTGGAACTTCAAGCTATAAAGCACCTTAAGAAATCAGTTTTGAAAGAAAAGAAGAAAAAAAGAATATGACCTTCAAAAGAGAAGCATATGTATGTAGTATATTTAACTGATTTTTTTACACTAAATATTGTGATTTGTGACCATGCAGAAGTCTGCAATATGATAACGATAATAATTTGGCATGTGCATTTGTTTGTAAATCAATCTCCAGAAAAACTGAATGACTTCAATTTCTCCCCAAAAGAAATGTGACTCGTCAGTAGACTAACTAGACTCCCAAAGCAAACAATTGAAAACTGCGGGCTCACAAATTCCAAATTTAGGCTTCATCTACTCACAATATAAAAACATTGCAAAGCATTGATGAAATTAATTATCACAAAAGCATCTTATTGCAGAGCTTTTGCATTTGATTCCACCAACAACTTCTAGGATAACATTCAGCACATGATAAAAGACTGCTAAACTTTAATCCCAATCAGAGAATAAACAATTCAAAAAAAAATTGAGATTACCTCACAAATATCATTTCCCCTCTGAAATTCTTCTGTCATAACACGAAGTGTGCTTGTTGACACATTGTAGCTAGAGTTCATGCAAGGATATGCTGGGGTTATTATAGGCATTAGGTGTGTCCTGTCTTTGAAATTTCTCCTAGGATCCCAATATGGAAGTCCTAGAGACCCTTCTTGAATTGGACAAAGCAAAACAGGGTTTGGCCAACGCCACATACTATAGACCCTGAAAAATCGAGACACTAACATGCTAGGAATTGCATTAGGATATAGTTGGCAAATACGAGCTACAAGCAACGCCCAGTTAATGCCACCAAGAAAGCCAGTAACCTAGTCATAGAGAGAACAACATTAGCATAGAAAGGTAAATACACAACTTTGTATCACATGCATGTAAATACAGAGTACTACATAGATAGGATTTATGGAGAACAGTTGAGAATGTCTTATTATAATTTCCTCACATTTGAGTAAACTCCACGCCGCTTTGCCCACAATCTCATGCATCTCAATGTAGTACGAAAACTCTACAGGAGCAGAGGGTGAAAGACAGTGAGAAATTAGGGTAAGACAGCATACATTAGTCCACACAATTGAGCTCACAACCACCTGAATACTAGGAACTAAATGTAAAACTTGATCAGTAACTCTGCATCCATTTAGACTACGAACAGTCTGCTCATCTACACCATGCAATATGGACTCTTGTGAAACATCCAAGTCCTACAAGGAACAAACAGTTCAAAAATATGCCACAGTCTTTACCTTCTCAATAGACTAACATCCTCCAAAAAAATAAACTTGAAGGAAACTTTATAATACAATCCATGCTCAAAAGTATTAGATGGCCTAAAACCATAAGAATGTATTCATAAATATTGGGGAAAAAATCTAGATATTGGCAGTCATGGAAAGAACCTCAGGGATAACCCAGAGTGCAACATTTGCATAAAGAAGGTCTATAGATATTTCATTAAACTTGAATTTCATCACAGGAACATGAGCATCTGGAACAGGATGTAACTCCTGAATTTCTTCCATTTCGAGCAGCATATTATGAAGCTCACCAAAGAAGTCCTGCAAAAAAGATAAATACTTAATATGTACTGCTTCTGTAAAATTGAACACAATGCATAAAATATGTTTCTTAGCATACTTCTCGAGTAGCATATCTTGGTCCAACACATAATGTGTCAATATCTGCACCAGGGCCATGTACCTATAGAAAAAATGGTTATTGTGTGACCAATACAGTTTAGTCCCCTAGCAAGGTATCATTAAGAAAGAGATGATATCACATTTGCAGTTCCATGTAAACAATACCCAATTACTAGTGGATCCATTATTAAAAATTATTATTACCCTCTTCTCAAGTTCATCATCCCTATGCATTTGAAACATATACCTGAAATCCTGTATGTCCCTGTCCAGGGAATGACATTTATAAACAGTATCTATTTTGTGTTTTTAGTCATATAACAAATTCCACAAGAAAGTTTTATTCAGAAAGAAAGAACTGACAACTGAAGGGTCCAATTTTCATCAGATTAAAGGCATTTCTCAACCAATAATCATACGTAAAAAGTTATAACCCTAGACTGCAATGGACAGATAGAGATACATCAAGAGAAATGCCAGGATGGAACATGGATGGTTTTGTTTGATGTTATGTTTTTACCAAAACTCTTTGCAATTAAAAAAAACCCGAGTCCCAGATAAGAGCGGTCAATTTCATCATGCATACAAAAAAGTACACAAATATCAAAGAAAATTAAATAAAAACAAAGAATCACAATGGCAGAAGTGAGCTACTGAGCTCAGTAGTAAAAGGTCATCAGATATCAGAAAGCATTTATGATTTATGAACATATTCCTACCTCTCTGGGCAGTGGAATTTAGGTTGACTAATTAAGGATTGCAAGGAATTTAGGTTCACCAATGAAGTGGAATGCTGGAAAAATTTCCAAACAGCCTTTACAGATTACTACTGCAGATGAATTTATCATCATTCCAAATATGGAAGAGAACAATTGAAAGAAATTTGTTTTCATCATATGCTTCTTCGGAGTCATTCCAGAATTTGAGATCAATGGAAATTTAGAAAATGTATAATTATTAATGATTGAATAAACAAGGCTACAACAGCATCCACTACAAAAGTTGGAATCTGCAAAAGAATACCTATATTGAGGTCAAAATTATGAAACCCGGTATCGTTTATTGCAACTTTACTGTGACACAAATGTTTGTAATTATCACCAATCTGTTGAAGATGTTATGTAATCATCAGTGAAATGAGTATTTCCTACCAATGGTGTGGTTGTGGTAAGATGTTAGTATGTGCCTTTCTTTTATTTACTAAATACTCATGGAAATTGGCTGATTATGCATGGTTGTTCTAAAAGATACGGAGTATTTCAATTCTTGCTAGTTGCTATTCTACACAATGGCAGTTCTAAGTGTGGTTTAAAATGGCCCCACATTCTTGACGTCCAAAAAATTCAAAAATAGCTCAACTCCACCACTGATAAGACTTTATTGCACCAGCAATTGCTAGTTTGTAGTCTCATTACCACATTGTTTTCTCTTCTGTTAAGAAGGCTACAAAAGTAGTTCTGTCACCGCATTATTATCTACATGAATCGTAAGAGTCTCAACAAAGTCGAGCGGGAAAAATGTGCCTCCACAGACCATGTGGTTTTAAATACTTTTTCAAATACTCCACAATAGACATCACAAGCATAACAAACTACCCATAGTAGAATCATACACTTCCATTAAAAAATAATCCCCTAACAGCCTTTTCAGTCTATTGGCCCTTGTAAGAAACTCCTAAATATCGTGCCCATGTGTCATGGACTCATGGGAATAAGAAACAAAAAGGTATGCCCAATATTCATTCACAAACATCAGGTTCCAACAAAATACATGTTTCCATAACAAAATCACTATTAAGAAGCCAATACATGGATCAGTTTTCTATTGAAAGTGTATATAGAATACCAACAAACAAACTCAAGTAACAAAGGTGTACCCATCCTTTTTATTCTATCTGAAAACAATGGGAAACGCAAGCCATGCCCAACAAAACCATTGTCAATCTTTACTGCCAACACCCAACTTGAAATTTATGAATCGAATAAAAGGAGAGTATTACATCATCACAATGTCCTGAATTTTTAATAATTTCCTAGTTTGCACTGTTTCATATGAAAAATACATAGTTCACTTAAATACTACTAAATTATCCAAATGTAACAGGCAAGTTGATGAGTACAGTTTGGAATAGTTGACCACTTTATGAATTATGATGCAGCATAACAAGCGTAAAAGACTGAAATAAAGGGCTAGCAATTGGAATAAATGAAGATTTATTGCAACTTTAGCAACTACAGAGTATTATAAATTTATAGAGTGGTTTTACTTTATGAATGTGGAAATTAAAAGAACTGACCAAGACAATTTGAGCCATAATATGTTATTGTAAATAAAGTTATGGGTATATAAATAATGACATGCCCATTATGAAAACATTTAATAACTTGAGAAATTACGAAAAGATAAAAGCAAAAGTAAGGTATCTAAAATGCATACTCCTAGTCGGTATGAACCAAATGTGAAAATCTTTGCATTTGCTTCCTGTGCAAGGTGTTCACTATGACCTTTAGCACAACTGACATTCCTCACCCACTTCTTCACAATCTGTTGTACTTCCAACAATTAGCAACATACGCATCACTTTATAGGAACAGAAAATCTAAAGTCAAATGCAAAAGAACAACCTGATCCAATCTCCCTAAGACTTCCTCCCTTTTAATGGCTTCTTCTTGACTTTCATACAATCCAGCATCTGCAAGAAACTAATTAGAAGCGTCTTATCAGTAATTGAACATCAATCTTATTCTGGCATACAATCTCCATCAAAGCCAAGTTGGAATTAAATGTTTTTAAAGAGTATTAAAGCTGTATAGACTAAATAAAAATCTCTTATATCTAAGAATTTTTAGGGAGCACCACCGTGCTAAAATCATTTCATATTTCATAAAAACCCCTCTAAAACCCAATGCCTACACGGATGGCACCTTCGCCGGAATCACCTCGCGGGGCACGTGCCCTACTCCCCCCCCCAC